AATAAATAGAAATAAAAGTCATAGGGTTATGACTGTGGCAATAGCTATGACAACAATAAGTCCTTTCTGTGAATAGAGAAACTTACCACTTTTAGATTCTTATTTGCATTCTCAACCCTATTGGTGGTGTGGTTTCTTAGTGTGTTAACCACAATTCGGTCTTTGAGGCTCCAGGCCTCTTTTGAAAGCAGCCAATTGTTGACAAAATACTGATTCAAAGTCTTGCTTGCTACTTTGTTAAACTGTACAAAATGGACTTGGAATTCAGGATCATCTTCCGCATACATCATGCCCTTAAAGGATTCGATGGCAGCTCCTTTATTTGGGTCTCCTTTAGCAGCTTTCTTCATATTCTTTTCAACATGTACGCTGCAGATGTGCACTTTTGCGTTTGGCATCACAGCTCTAATGGCCCCAATTTCAGAGAAATCCTTGTCCACAACTATGCAATTTGTCTTTTCAAAGATCTCTTGACCACTTTGGACGCAAAAGGCAAGCAGCATGTTTGTCAGCGTTTCTTTCCTCTCGTTGGCAAGGAAAGCATAGCATACTGCCTCGCCTTTCCCTTCACCATTCATTACCTGAATTACACTTACAGGCATCATGTTTTTGTTTATTTTGTATGAAATGTCCATGAGAATGACTTCAGGAAATTTGTGAAGAGCTTTTCTCATCTCTGAGGTCTGAATCAATAAGAAATTAACTTTCTTAGTATCCTTGTTGTAGTCCAACACCGTGGAAGCCTCAGGGTCTTTGTCTTTAATTTCTTGCAATTTAGCAAGGAGCATTTCCTCCTCACTGCGACCCTTGCGGTCGTTTCTAATTTGATTGGTCCTACAATAGGAAAAATTTTATATTACAGATATGTTCTTTTAAATGATTACATTAAATGATAGTAAAAAAAATCAGTAGGTCTTACCGAACATTGCTGATGTCTCTGCTTAAAACAATTTTGTCTCCTTCCCTTGCTTTGATCAAAGGCTTGATCAGCAGAGGCTTGGCTTTCACTTTGTTGAAGTCCTGAACACACTTGATTGTGGCCATTTGCATCTTGCGGACCTTAGGATATCCATCATAGGTAACTTTAGTGCACGGATGGTTGTGCACAATATGAAAAACATCTACGACAAGACATTTTCCTGTTTTAATGAGCTTCAATTCTAGGTACGACTTGCAACCAATCTTGTATGATCTGAAGAGAGGAAATATGCTTTAATTCGGTACACATATTGCCACACAATGGCATGGACAAAGTTCAGAAAGTTGTCACTTACTTTTGCATAGGTCTATCCCCAGTTAAATTGGGGTTAGGCCTCTTGGCCCCAAAGTGTATGCACTCATATCGAATAAAAGAAAATGCCAACTTCTCATCTGCTTCATATGGCGTACTTCTTCGTCTGTTGTACAGACAGAAGTTAGTAGCTTCATACTTCCTAAGAGAAGCCTCAAACTGTTTAATAGATTCATACTCTTGCCCCACTTCCAGAATTGGAGGGTTCTCTTTTTGATCCTTAAAACAATTAAGAACATGTAAATGAGATTAAATTTGAGGTTATGCAAAAGGTGAACCGGTATGTCCCAAGAGAAGAAAGAGTAGATGTGACTTTCTTTGAACATTTTAGAAGACGAAATGAACAGAATTCAATATTTTAATTGATACGCGAATCACTTACCTCCATTCGTCATTAATTGATTTGATGTTACTTGAATGGCCAGAAACACACACAGAAATCCGGAGATAGAACCACGAGCAAGAGCAAGTCCGCGCGAAAACGACAGTGTGCGAGTCACAGTACCAACCCTCAGACAACCCAATTGAATAGAAACACTCAATAACTGAATGACATGGAAAATCCCTTCAAAAAATTATAACTTTTGATCAACATGCTGACATGTATACGCCTATATTGCCTTATTGCGTTCACGAAGCTTGTATTTAAAAGGCGACCAAGCGTCGTGTAAGGATAACCCTGCTGTCTTGAAATGCATTGTGGAACGGCGTTCCAAAAGTAGTGCTTTCCAGCAAATAGCTTCAAGACAAACTAGAATGCTAAAATGTTATAACAGGGCCGGTTTCGCGGACAACAATAACAGAAGCAGACGATGGAATCATTGGTGCAAATAGTGTGAGGCATTGGAGGTGCAAATAGTGTCCCTCTTATTGTTTGCACCTATAGTGCAAACAAATTATGTACTACTATTTGCACTGCAAGATAAGTGCAAATAGCTAATCCAACATTGGTGGTACCTGAACGGGGTGCAAATAATAGTACCTCTGTAATTTGCACCATAGGGTGCAAATAGTTACTACCGTGTACGAACGGATCGGGGAAGGGGAAGGGATAGCTCACCCATCTAGCAGGCCGTGTGGCTTTACCGCTTGGAGACCCGCACCGCGCTCCAGGTGCGCTGCGACCGGCGACTGAGGCTGAGTAGCTGAGTCCGCCAGCCAACTACAGCACGATGTAGAAAGACTACATCTACTAGATCTACATCGTGAACCACAGGCCTCTCCTCCTGGTCCCGGTCACGGAGGCCGGGGGCTCGACCCGCCCCGCGTGACTCGTGTTCGTGGTCCTCGACAGCCTCCAGGATCTCCACCGCCCCCCCCCTTCCCCCTCATCCCACCACTAGCAGGGCTTTCGGAGTCATAAATGTCACCCCCGTGTTCATCCATCCGCATTTCAAACTAATCAGCTTCTGCTCTTGCGACAAAAAATAAAGAAGCAAACGAACAAGTGTGCGAAGAATTCTGATGATGTGCAAACTACTAAGTCTATTTCCAGTGAATTAATAGTGTAGGTGACCTTAGATCCGCCGGGGTCGGGGAGTGCATCATACCAAAATTAAAGAACGCGTAGGATTTACTGGTTCAAGTAAACGTTTTATCGTTTAGAATACAATTTAACCGTACAACAAGCACTGCAAAACACAAGATGTCAAATTGTACACCGTTTTCAGAGCGCTGCACAATCAACAGCGCGTAACCATTACAATGAATGCCTTCGAAGGTGGGCCATCATGCTGCCCGGGTCCACGAATGTCTTGCCGCACTCCGTGCACATGAACGGCTAACCCCCCGCGTGGGTGCGGAGTTGCAGGCTCAGCCCACTCCTGGTTGCAAACTTGTTGCGGCACACGGCGCACTCGAAGGGCTTTTCTCCCGTGTGAGTTCGGAGATGTCTCCTCAGATCGCCAGCGTGCAAACACTTGACGTTGCACTCCGTGCGCTCATACTTCCGCTCTCCGGTGTGAACCCGGAGGTGTGTGCCCAACCTTGCGCCTGTTTTAAATCCCTTGCTGCACACGTTGCACTCGAAGGGCTTTTTTCTGGTGTGGATAAGGCGGTGTTGAGCCAGAGCGCGATGATCCACAAACTTCTTGTCGCACTCGAAGCACTCATACGGCTTTTCTCCCGTGTGCCTTCGCTGATGCGTGCGCAAGTTACCCCTTTGAGTAAATTTCTTGCTGCACACTGGACACTCGAACGGCCTCTCCCCAGTGTGAGTGAGGAGATGAAATTTCAGTGTTTGACCATCGCCAAATTTCTTTTCGCACACACCGCACTCGAACGGCTTCTCGCCCGTGTGGGTACGAAGATGAATTCGAAGACCGTTTTCGGTTGCAAATTTATTGCCGCAGACCGTACATTCAAAGGGCTTCTCTCCAGTGTGAGTTCGATGGTGATCTTTCAGATGCCCACTTTGCGAAAATTTCCTTTCGCACAAGGTACACGCGTATGGCTTCTCTCCGGTGTGCGTCCGGCTATGCAACTGCAGACTTGCTGTGTGCGCAAATGTTTTACTGCACACTTTACACTGATATGGTTTCTCTCCTGTGTGGATACGGGTATGTGAACGCAAAGCTGAGCTACACAAAAATGTCTTTTGGCACTCGGCACACTCGAATGGCTTCTCTCCTGTGTGAGTACGAAGATGGAGACGCAACTTTACACTAGTTCCAAATTTCTTATTGCACAGACTGCACTGAAAAGGCTTCTCCCCTGTATGGCAGCGTTCATGACTTTTTAATTGTCCTGTGCGTGCAAACCTCTTTTTACACACTGTGCACTCGTGTGGCTTTTCTCCCGTGTGCACCAGTAGATGCGAGTTCAGACCACCACTCGTCGCGAATATCTTGTCGCAATAATTACACTCAAAAGGCCTGTCTCCAGTGTGGGTCCGCTGGTGAGACTGAAGGTTACTGCTGTACGCGAATTTCTTGCCGCACACTGAACACTCGAAGGGCTTCTCTCCCGTATGGGTTCTAAGGTGAACTCGGAGCTGGGAATCGCGCTGATATTTCTTCTCACAGATTGAGCACCCGAAAGGCTTCTCTCCCGTGTGGATCAACTGGTGAGCCTGGAGGTTATTGCTCGTCGCGAATTTCTTGCCGCACACTGGACACTCGTACGGCCTCTCTCCCGTATGGGTCCGCTGGTGGGTCTGAAGTTTACTGCTCGTCACGAATTTCTTGTCGCACAATGAACACTCGTACGGCCTCTCTCCCGTGTGCGTTCGGAGGTGAACGCGCAGGTTGGCACGGGTCGAGATCGCCTTGCCGCACTCTTCACACTCGAAGGCCTTCTCTTCCGCTCGCCCCATCGTGGCGGCTGCGTGATGTCCTTGTGTACTCGTTGATCTCTGGTGAAAAGAAGAGAGAAATGACTAAATCTGCCACGTTGTGCTCCGTCGTACTGGCGTCCTCTGGCTGCATACGCCGGCGCTCGTACGTACCTGGTACTCCTCTGGGAGACGAGCTCGCTCTCCTTCACGTCCGTGGAGGCGGTGGCACCCCAGAGGTCCTCGCAGGCGGCGAGTACGGCGACGGGGAGCTACGCGTTCCGAGGGACGGCCTCGCACCTCGCCACACGAGACTGCTGTGCTCGCTGGCTCCTGCGGATGCCTGACGCCTGACTCAGCCGATTGACACTGGCGAGTGCAACTCAACCGCGAGGATGTCTGCGTCAGGGCTGCCAGGTCCGGAGTGAGTCAAGTCGCCAGAGGAGGGCGCTCGAGTCGCCAATCGTCGCCAGCCGCCCAAGTCGCCCCGGCCGCCGTGAGTTTACAGATACATATTGCAATTGCAATCGGGCAAGGCTGTCTCCAACTTAATTCGTCCACTTCCACTTTCACAACAAACAATAATAGATCATTCTCTTGAACATCACAATGCTAAAGATCATATATCAGAGATTATGGAACCTCTCTCCAGGCAGCCCTTTCCTAGGTAATTTTGGATAAATTATACTAACTGTGCAATAAGCACTAATTGACCCAATAACCTGTGCAAGCTTGAACTGTTTTGGTTGAATTATCAAGATCCGGATGCAACAATTTAATTTCGACGATGTTGCTAAAGCATTACATTGAGAGAGCAGCAGAGAGAGTGCTAAAGGGACGGTCAAACGTGTCTCTTCACGACTGTGGCATGATACTGGAGCAGCTCCGAGAGTCCTGCATTGGTGATATCATGCAGAATGAATTTCAATCTGCAGTATGCTGTAAAGAAAAAAATGACGCTGTTGAGGAAACGGTTGGCATTTCATTTACATACCTATGTTGATCGTATTCCTGTGAAGATTAATAATGTTCTTACCTGCCGTGCTCTGAATTTTTTACAGATCATATCCATTGAGGAAGATCTGAAGGCAGATGTTAAGAAATTGGAGATGGATGAAGACAGCAGTCAGGAAAACAATCTTTCGAGTTACTGTAAGCCACAGTTGGAACATGCACCATTTCCTAGGAAGGATGTTCCTGCAATAGTTTTGTGTTGTGTTCGAGGCTCACTATGCAAACTCTGCCGATTGCCATTTAAAGGTCTAGACTGCCTGAAAAACCTTATTGACCACACCAAAGAGAAACACTCTGATAAGGCAAGTCAACATTTTCTGAAAAAAGTCATTGAGGAAAACTCATATGACAAGATGCTTGGTGACGGAATAATGTACTGTACATGTTCAATGTGCATTCGTATTGGAATGGCTAGATTGGACAAAAGGTATGATAAAGCGCGTCGCATGTGTTTATAAACGAGTGCCAAAATAAGGACCGTTTTCAGTCCTGTAGATCAAATTTTCATCCAATTTTTTTGGTAAAACTATACAATATTTTTATCTTAACAAGATGATGTCAGTCCAGGAAGCAGTGTCTTTATGTGGATGAAGTGTAAACACCACACATATAGGTTTCCCAAGAATCTTGCATTTCCTATTTCTTTAAAGGTAACAATTAAGAGTATCTATATCTATTGCCTGGCATGACTGTACAGAAATTTAAAGCCTCATTAGCAAATTATTATTTCATAACTGTTCTTATATCATCATTGAATTTTTTCCCTCTTTTTTTTATGGTCACCTTTTGTTGAAAGTTTTCATTTCATTTCAAGGGTGAGGACTTGTGAAACCATTGTGTCGCATGTAACATTCTGAATAAATCAAGCCTGAACATGGAGTTCTCGTTGGACAATTGCCATTGAAAGACCCATGCAAACATTTTTCAAATTCGTTGTCAAACTCCAGATATGAAACAAATAAATTTAAACCTGGAGAGAGAACTATTATGCCCACATCAAATCCAATTACATTTTTGGGAAGTAGATGAAAAACCGGTTCTTTTAAACATAAAAAGAAGTATAAGGGATGAGAAATAAAGTTTTAGAGCCTTTTGGAGACATGACTTGTTACGGCTCGATATAGGTATGAATAAAACAATTTTGCTCTGGGGAATCTAAATGGTCAAGAAAACACCAATTGTGATAGAGAATTAAGAAACTAGAAGACAACCTCCTCCTTAAGTCACCACAGTGTTCAGTTAATACCAATATAATGAAAAAACACTTAAAAGAAAATTTATCTTCTTAATAAAAA